TCTCTCTATATATATACTACATATATATATATATATATATATATATATAATATATATATATATATATATATATATACATATCAAATATCGAAATTCTGCACTTCTTTTTTACATTTCCTCATTTTGTCGAGATCAATGGTTTTAGCCTGTCGCTCGCAAGGCAGATGGCGCGGTGAGTAGGAAATAGGCGGGGAATGTTCTTATCAGTGTTTGATAAACTAATATGTTAAAAGTTTTTAATTAAAGTTTATTTTTAAATTGACAGAACTTATTATTTTTGACTTATCCTCTCTCTTACAAATAGAAAAGCCAAAGTAGTCTTTGGTCACGGAAGAACTAGGAACCACTGATTTAGATTATTAGAATGAGAGGATGTTTAAATAAAAATAAGGATAAAATTGTAAATGGAACATTACGAGATCAGTAAAATATCTCTCTAATGATATATTCCACCTGATGCTACCTCAAGAATTCTATAATTCGATATTTAAACCAAGAAGAGATTAATTTGTAGTGATTATTCTAGCTGCTATTGGACATAATCAGACCAGACTAATCAAAAGGGAAATGACAGATAGGTACGGAATAAAGTGTGAAAAAAGACTTCGCAAAAATTGACTAACAATATGATCCTAAAGGAAATTTCTGGTTCCATGCTGAAAAGGTAAGATATGATTCGATGATTTGCTGATGCGCTGTTGAGAAATGGAAAAATGATTCGTTTGAGAATTATGCTAAACAAACTGAAAGAGAATTGGGAGAATAAAAAAAAAGGTAGAAATAAATCGGTCTACGATAGCAATGATAAAAATGGAAACAAATTTTTTTTTCCTTTAAATGAAAGGAGAACTAATTGGGAAAAATGGAAAGGAAACACATTTCTACAGCAATTTTTCAACCAGTTAAAAGTTGGATTAAAATTCCTGACTTTGTAGAACTATCTAAATTAGAATATAAGTTTGATTGCAATGAAAAGAACTGCATGTCTATTTGAAATTGGAAATAGAAAAAAAAGAAAACTGGAAAATGAAAAGTCTGCAACTTCTCGGGAAATGGTGAATCGAGGATTTAATAATTTAACAGATTTTTTTTTTAATGTTTCGGTATCTAATCGTATAATTCCAAATTTCTCATCTTTTTTTTCTCCGTTATAATGAATCAATCATCTTAATAAGAGCATTCCTGAAACATCGGAATTTTCACAGAACATTCTGTCATTTTTTGAAGAGAAAACATAAGAAGAGTGAAGAGAAATGCTTATCACAAGCACATTTTGCTATCATATCAGTACATGATGGTAGGATGAACGGACACATAATTGAATGAACAGAAAATAAATGTTAAGATTATGGGAACAGTAAACAGAACAGTAAAGTTTAAATGTTTAGTCAGTCCGAAGGGAGTTGAGAAGAAAAAGAAACGATAGACCTTATATGAAGGTTAAAATAACTCTGGAAGGTTAACGATCAAATAACTCTGGAAGGTTAACGATTAAGTTTCGAAGTTTTAAATTTTCTAAATTTTAATTTTTCCATCATAATAATGACAGATCATATAGCAGAATAAAAATGAACAACAGAAAGAGATATACAGTATGTATACGTATTAATAATGAAAAGATACACCTAGTAAAATGATGATAAAGGAAAGGATGAAAGTAAATGCAAAATGAATTTGCAAGTCGTTTGAAAGGATGAGTGGAAGTTAGCTGAATGGAAGAGAGCGCTGTTGGCCAGGATCATTTGTCCCCTCTGATTGCATCATCATCATTTCATCACTGATCATTACTCCCTCCCTTTTCCCACATTTTTCCTAATGTGACTGTCTGACAAAATCAATCAATTCGGAATAATGCTATCAATGAGATTAATTGGAAAAGCGCAAACCGGCAGACAGAGCAGTTTTAAATGGAATAGAGAAAGGTATCAGCCATGAGGTTTGTCCTTTTGATCCGGTACTTTTGCAATTTCTGGATGATATCGCGATATGCAAAGAGTAGTAATCGTGTATGCACATTTTCCTAAATATGAGTTTTTCGTACACTCGAATTTGCATTTCCGGAATTGTCTCTTCAGGAAACTTGTGTATGGTTTTCTTCTTCCGCCCATTTCTCTGATTCTACCATTCTAAGTGTTACATAATCAGTCCTACTGTGGTTCCTAACAATCTACCTCACAACTTGTTCACATTTCATCCGACAATTTTTCACGACACCAGTAGACTTCAGTGCAACTTTCCCGTCCCTTTCATCGTTTGGATACTTGTCTTACTGTTCTTTTCATGAATGCAACTTAGAAACTGGAACTGCTGAAGGTGGATGATTCTTTTCCAGTGTGAATACAGGAATTGTTGTATATTTCCGGAAAAATGGATTGCAGGTCTTTCCTACTTATCTATTGTTAAATGGTGAATTTATGTTTTCAAGCATTCATACAATGATCACACCAATTTCAACGAAGATGAGCAGGAATTCCGTAGTTATGCTTTATTGCTTGGATCATGATTCATATTCCTACCAGTAATAATTAACGAATTTTCTTCTAACCATCGAATGGTTAACATTCTTTGTTATCTCCCAGTAAGACAAGGATCAAAGATGTTAGTAATAGTTAGCTTTGTATTCTTAAGGGGAAACATGTTTGCAGCATATTTTCCGGAAAAATTCGAGGAAAACGCTTCTGGAATTGAACGAAAAGAATTGGAGGAAGAAACATTGCCTTTTCATCTTTCCATTGCTATTAAATGATTTTGAAATATGGGTATAAACCGGAATATGGGTATAAACTCGTGTAAACCGGGATAACTGGATTTGTAAATCGGAAATGCATGGTTGGACGAATACCACACGTGTGAAAAGAGTAATAGTTAAGTTTTGAAATCAGCGATAATATTTGATGATAGCTTAATGCAGTTCTGTCAAGCTTCGTTTTAGAGAAATAGATATAATCAAGAATTAGTTGATATGATGAAACAAGCTAAAAATGTAAAGGGCTTGTCTGTTTCAGAGCTAGGCTAAACGGATTAAATAGGTCTCAATCAAAAAAAAAAAAAAAATCCGAATGTAAACTATAACATAGCAAGTTAATTCAAAACTTTGATAAAGGCAGTCATCATAAGTGACTTACTACCATAAGTAATAAGATAGTTTTAATTATGCAAAATGAAACTTATTGTTATAAGCCTTGTAAATATAGGCCAACAATCTTAGCCACAATTTCAACAAAGTAGATGATAATTTGTTTCAAAAAAGTTATTTCCAAAAGAACGAATAGAAATTGTCCAAGTCATGGGAAATGATTATGATTAATTATCACTCATTAATAAGATAATAAACCAGATGCTCCTACTTCTTACGCACGTGGACATGTTCGCGTGGTACTAACATAACATTTCCGTGTAGCAAAAGTTACGGAAGATGTAATGTG